TTAATTAATGAACTAAAATATAAAATAAATGTTATCATATTGTAATTTACAAGTTTAGTATGTTTTTTTATTAAATATTAGGCTATGTTTTGGAAGATTTTATATTTAATATTCTGTTTCGCCTGTTTCTGAAGAAAGTTTCTCAAAATTTTCAAACCCTACCTCATATAAAATAGCTTATTCTATCAGCACTTTTGTTATAAATATTGCGATTTTAAGATTTCAGACAGAATATTTCCCTAGTTTACTTTTCTTCAGACCAATTAAATAATTAACTTCTTGATTCTAGAAAAGCCTCAACGTAAATTATAAAAAGCTTACTTTCAAAACCAGAGGGTTGGTTATTATACGACACCTCAAAATTTATTCTTACGATAAAACTTTTGTCACATTTTGTTCCCAATTTGTCCAAATTGCATAAGGAAGTTTTCAAACCTAACCAATCTCGATTAATAAAAGAGCAGTTTTCACAACGCAGCACCTTTAGAGGATGCAAAAATTGGGAAAGGACGTTTGTTATGCAACGTGAATTATTCACACCGCGATTCGGAGGCCGCGCGGAAATGTGTGCCGCGTCCGTTCGGTGAATGCACGTTTTCAAGGAAAAAAGCGGCCACATCGTTTTGTGGTGCGTTATTTGCGGTGCATAGAGCAGCGGCGACCTGGGCGGCAGGTCGCACTGCACGCGTATTTTCCCATTGTTGTTGTTGATTATTGAAAGTGAAAGGGGAAGTGACGTGGAGCGTCTATCTCTCTCGCACGACTTCCTGGCAGTCAGCCTTGGCCCCATGTTCCAGTTCGGTACTGTGTAGTGGCGCTCGTACAAGAGAAAGTAGGTCCTTTTAAACTAAGTTCGGTGATGCAATACCGAGAGAGACACACACAGGTAATGCCACATACACAGTACCGTAGTCCAGGGTATATTTGCGAATATATTTTTCTTCTTATTTGTTAAATTATAATTTTTAAAGTAAAAAAAAGTAAAGGTTCATTTTTTGATCTCAAAAGTGTCTTTTACCTGTTTATTTTTTTTCTTCAAAATTTTCTATTTTCATTTGAAACTAAATTATAAAGTCAAGCCATTTTGGTGAATGACACTCAAAAATGTTTGTCTTGAAGCCAAAGATTTCCCTTATTTTTAATTAAGGGCATAATTATATTAGCAAAAAAGTATTTTCAACAATAGGAGAGCCATTTTGGCAATTATGGGAAACTTTAACCAAAATTGAAGTAAAAATTTAAATTTAATAACTAACTTTGTTGTACTGACCGAGAAGAACAAATAATATTAACAATTGAAAATAAAAATAGATATTTTATTATTTTGATTCTTCAAAATCTTGAAACTTTTCTATCAATCCATTCTTTTCATTTTTAAAATTCTTTTTTATCTCGTAAGCTCCTGCTTCACGGTGTCTCTTTGGCTTTTGCCACACATTAGGCTGTCTGTCTGTAGGTTTGAGGTTTACCTCCCAAGTCTGTTCGGTGTGCGTTTGTATGGCAAAGGCATTGTTTCCAGCGGTTTGTCCTTGTACTAAAATCTCTCCCACTCATTCTCGCGCACTCCTCTCCGCGTAAAATTATGCCAAAGTACATACATACGCGTTACCTCCTGAACGAAAGTGCACACGTGATAGCAGTTTATAATACTGTGACCCTGGTGGAACCAGGTGTGAAGAACTGCTGTAAATAATGCGCATTGATAACAAATTAGCAAAATTATCTCGGATAAAAAACAAAAAACAAATGTAATAATTCGGTTCAAATTCAAACATCACATTATTAGACCTTGTTGAAAACCTTCAACTCTGTTAATTATTTTCCATGTAAATTTTGCGATTATTTTTTAAAAAATTTCCACAAAATCTTAGCTCTGCTTGTAAGTAAACAATATATTTTTTTCATTCAATAAATCAAACTTTTTTGTTTTCAATTTAAATTAACAAGACTAAATAAATTCAAAATTTTCAGATTTTCCTCAAAATTTGAAAAAATAAAATGAAATTTCGGATCATAATATACTATTTACGCAAGTATTTCATTAAGTGACAAATTTTTTATTGAGAAATGGAAATAAAATATATTTTGAAGTCTTGTAATTATGCACAGGTGTTTCTGTTAACAAACTGGGATTGAAATGAATAATTCTTCAATAAATATGTTGATTTCTTAAGAAGTCGACTCCCAAAATGAGTATTCTTGTTATCCAGATTGGATTGATTTTAAGCCAATTTTTGAGAGAATTGAAGTAAATGAAAGTGATGGGAATATATACAAATTTTAGTAATTCCCGAAGTTTTTGCTAACAAGATCGTTAAAAAAGCAAATTATTGTCATGTTTTTAGAGTTTAAAAGTTAATAAATTGAATTTGAATTTGGATGGACCGTTTCCATAGAAGCATGAGAGTGTTTTATTATTTGTTTGACAAACAAATTTTGTAAAAAATCACGAAGTGGAAAAAACAAGGAAAAAGTGTGTGATATATGATCAAACATGCACTTGTTTGTATCGCGCCAGCACCTGCGCTGGCCCAATTTCCCTTTCAACGCGCGCTCGCATTACACATGCAAGTGTTTCTCCTCCTACTCCGCATTCGGTATCAGCACTAACATAACTCTGACCTACACAACCTAAGCAGTCGCGAATAGATAGGCCCACACCTTTACCCAAATACGGCCGGCGAATTCGCGGCGCCCCAAAAAACTCTCATTGTTATGCAAGCCTCCCACCAAAAATTTGCACAACCGCGGCTCATGCCTATCTATTCACATGATGTTTTCCAGAATTCACGCACCGCTTTGTATAACACGTCCCCACCACCGCTAACCTAGATTTGATGTATTAAAATGCCAGATGGAACGCGGGGATAGTGACGCTCGGATGAATCCTTTCTTCCATCTCTCGCTGGCGACGAATGACATAACTTTTGGAGGATTCCCGGCGCGCACGTTTTCCAGTTCCAGCGAATTTTTTATGACACCACGATCGGGATGTGGTTTATCGCGGCCAATTAGGAATTTCTCAGGAAACCAGACTGCGTTTCGAGGAAATTACACGCACTCTCGAAACTCTGTGCTTGACCAAATTTATTATCAAAATTTATTTTAATCCGCCAAGTTAAAAATGAGCTCAGTATTGTGGGAGAGGTAATTAAAAAATAAATAAATTTAAATCAAAAAAAGGATTTTTATATAAAAGCTCGTTGCATCGGAAAAAGTATTTGGATCTCTGAAGTTTTAGCAAAATCTTTATCATTTCGTCCATCAATTCAGTGATTCCCTCCCACCAATTGTTGCAAAACTTTTGTAACAATTTGAATTGATTTGAATAAATAATCAACATTTAAAATTTAATCCTCAATCAGATCCCCAAATGGGTTAATATTTAATACAAATTTTGCGTTTAAATTAAATTTTATACATTTCAAAAAATATTATATTAAAGTGCGCTCGGCAATTTAAAATTGATACAATTTTATTTTCGCTGCAAAAAAATTCTAATAAACACGATCTCCAAATGATTGTGTTTTTCTGTATCTCTAAAACGTTTCAAAGCATCCTATTCTTATATTTTTAATAAAGCAGTTCTACATTGTGAAGCTGCGCTCCAATACTTCCAAAGGAGCAATCAACAATGAAATCATCTCAATCTAAGGAGCTTTTGCTGATTTTCTTTTCATCATACTTTTTTCAATTTCTTCGAGATAAGTTGCTTTATTGTGAATCAACTCGCTCGTCTCTCTCGAAAAAGCGTCTCTCGCTCTCGTATTTTTATTATTATCGGTTGATACAAAATCATTGAACGGTTGCCAATTAATGTGGAACGCGCCGAGTTTTCTTGCACAAAAGAAGAGAAGCCAAGCCGCACTCTCGAGGAGAAACAATGGACGTGAAACCCGCGAGACGAAAGAGAAACAAATCCACCTGCTACACTCTTTGCTCGTTTCTCTAAAGTCTATGGGAATAAAAAAGTGCGCCGCGGTGAAAATGCGTCCATTAAAATTCATTCAGTGCTTTCGCTATTTAGTTTTAGGCATTCAGCTGCGGCACCACTAGAAAGGCAGCAAACGAATAATTTCTTTTTATGTCAGATTTTTCAAAATTTTATTTCTGATTTAAATTATTTTTATTTACCAAAAATATTATTCAAAATGCATTCATATTTCAATACTTGAAAAGATGAAACAATTTGAGAAAATCTTATGAAGTGATAACGGCCTTATAGAAACTTGCACTTGACACACAAGAACAGTGAAGAAAAATTTCTACAACCGGTGCTTATGCAACACGCGTGGTCGGAGCTCAGCGCAAGTTGCATACTTAAAATCGTCCTTTGAAAGGTAATATTTTGAAATACAATTTTTTACACGTTATAAAAAAAGCTAGTGTGTGATATTGTTCGTTTTTATTTGTAATCAGAGCAGACAACTCTAAATCGCTTTCAATTTGTTTCAAATTTCTGTATGGCTTTTGAAATTGGAAGCTCTTTGTTGGGCGAGGGTGCGTAACACAAATGTTTATTGGTTACTACAGCGACGACCCATAAGTTTACTTTTAAAATGGGATTAATGAACCAATCAATAATACACACTGCTTTATTTTTTCCTGTTGCATGGATTTGCCTAATATTGCCTAATATAAAATTCTAATAAATTTCAAAATTTTCGATTTAATTTCATTAAATTTTATTAGATCTTGTTTTTATTTTCCATGTTTTCTAGAAATGTGTTCTCTATATGGCGTAAGTTTTTGAGTGTGATTGAAATTATAAAATTCAAATCAGCAAATTTGAATTAATTATGGAAAAAATACTTTTTTTCTAAATTATGCAAAGCAGTAAAATTCATAGGATGAAGTTTTTAAGTTGTCCTTAGATGCTGTTGCGAGATGTGGAACATTTTTGTCGTAAATCTTTTCTTATTATCATATTCTCTCATTATCTCATTAAAATTTGTAGCTATAAGTAAAAAAAAAAAAAAAAAAAAAATGGTTGTACTCACCAGTACCAGGCTCAGTTTTGAATTTGGTCTTGAGAGGGAATTCCTGCTTAAATTCTGTTTTGAACTCGAGGTGAGGTGCATTTGATGTTGAGAAAGAAGGTACAGAAGTAGGAAGTGGTGCTGCCAGCTTGCCTGGAAACAGAAATTTAAATTTAAAACATGAAGTGGATAGAAATCTTGAAATTTGGAAAAAAAAATTACCAAAGATAAGAGTTGTAAAATTTGATTGTAATATTTGAGATTAATTTAAAACACTCAAAACCAACAAGCAAAACAATAAAATTTATTACATTATAATTCTATTATCAACTTTCCAAAAATTGGATGAAATTGATTTTAGAAAATCTACAGGGTGCTGTAAAATATTTTGAATGTGTAGATTTTTTTACATCATTAGTCAGGAGTTTCTACTCGAATTAAAATCTCCCTCATTCACTACATTGTCAATTGGGCCGCCAAAATTTTTAATGGTGTGCTTTCTTGAACCAAGAAAACACAATCCATCCAAATTAAATTAACCTAGAATTAGCTCAGCGAGGAACAGACGGAAAAAATATAGAACATGAGAATCTCTAACATGAAAATAAAATGCACTATTGCAAATCCCATGAAGTGAGAAGTAAAAGTAAAAATCCTATATCTTTACGAATCACACTCTTCTTAGTTAGAACTAAATACCTGTTGCACTTTAGTAAGAAAAACATTGCAAAATTAAAAATTATTTTATTATTAGAAAATCTATTATATATTAAAAAAAATTGTCTCCCCCAGGTCTCCCCTTTGTTAACAATTTTTTTTCATAAGTTTTTTATTATATTAATTTTTGACATTAATAAAATGTTTTGTTTCTAAATAAATTAGGTTTTATTTGTATACGGCTAGAGCCATTACAAACAAAGTGGTCTTATTTTTATTCTTATCTGATATAGGCAATTTGTTATTTTATTGAAAATAATTTATTAAGTAGCGACTGATTCATTCTCTCAAGGATAGCAAAGGTTAATGGAGTCTAACCTGGATGTAGCATAATTAACTTTTATGAGATAAAAGGCAAAACGCTTAAAGGAGGCAGGCCTGGCAAATTAAAATTTTAACATTTTTCAATGTGTTCTGTAAAAAAACACGATAATTCAAACTAAGGAAAATGCTCTCTGCTCTCATTCTTAGACAGATAAAAATATAATTGGTTTATTACTTTTTCTTTAATTAAATTTGAATACTTATTTGAAGTCAGTGCATTTTTAGTCTTCAAAACTCACTACTTTCAATGAGGTATAAATAAAATACAAAACAGCGAAATTTTTTGTTTGGCTTACAATGCAACGTCAAAAGATTTTGAAATAAAAATTGTGCGCTCGATTACATCTTTTCAAATAACGTCTTTCTATTTGATTCTATCATGGGATTTTCTTGCTGCTCAATGGAATCATGGCCGAGATTGACAACACAGAAAAAAGCTAGATATAAATTTTTTGGAGCATTCAAAATGCAAAATTCATAAGAAAAATTCATTTTCTTCTGGAAAAGTTGCTCATCTTATAAAATTCCATTTTGAACACTTCTCAAAATTTATAATCGGCATCCGTCTTCCTAGGTTGTTGTTGATCTTGTTTTCGTCTCCATTGAAACTTTTTACAATTCGTGAAAAGACAAACAGACACCAGTGAGTGCATTTTTTTCTTTCTCTCATTATACCAGTGGTTTTGAGGTCTATTCAATAATTAACATAAGTTTTTATTTATTTTATCAACAGAACTCCTCATGTTTAGGAATAAAACCTGTTTGAAAAAAAGTTAAATTTTGCGCCGAGAAAGGTAAGTTTACCTGCGAGGAGAGGATTTGCTGTTGCAACGTTCAATTTTCTTTGTGCCAGTGCATTTGATGCCATTGTTTGGGTGCTCAAGGGGTCGCTGACTATGCTGGCTGTTAAGGAGGTCAGCGTGTGCTTCACGTCCAAAGTGTCTGCAGTGCCATTGTTGTTCTCCTCCTAAACAGGGTTAGAGATGAGTGAGATAAGTTTATTTTACTAATTTTTTTTTGTATAAAATTTAAAATAAAAATGTTATTTATTAAGACGAAACACACGGTCCTTAAAAAAAATTGAATTAAAAAATAATTTGAATGAAAATAACAATTTACTTCAAAATATTTTCATATTTTGTTTTTATTTCACAGTGATTTTAATTAATTTTGATGAAAGGAGTAATTTATAAGAAATAATTAATAATATCCAGATTAATTACAAATATATATGAAGCCTGTAGAGATGGTTTGACCCCAACCTTTTCAGTCGGATGGAAGTCTGAGAAGAGGAGATCGAGTTCGAAGGCGGTGCTGTCGGCGTCAACATTGGGCAAACTGTTGAGGTCGCTTTGAGATAACTCCTGCATGGGCGGCGTCGTGCCTTCGCCCTCCTAATAACAAGTCAAGTTTTATCAGTCCAATTTTATTATTATTATATTTTTTTACGTACCAGGTAGTCGTCCAGAAAAGCCATCATATTAAAGCTGTTGGCAGCGGGTGCTGAAGCGCCCCCGCCGCTGGGCCCCGCGGTGGCCCCACAGTAGAAGCCCGTGGTATCCACGCCTTTATTTTTGCCACTCTTTGAATGAAGCACCCGTTAATGATCTGTTTGTCCCCTTTTCATCAAATTCCTGAAAGCAATACAAATCATAGAATTGGTCCACAATTTTTTTATCAAACATTAGTTTTTACTTTATAAAAAATTGATAAAAAAAAGATTATGCATTTTAATTTTTTTAAACATTACAATTTGTAACTGCCAATAAATTATAATTACATTGTATATTATTTTTATTCATGTTTATTAATTAATTACTGTTAATTATGTTAATTATTCATTATGTATTTTATATTTTTTATTCAATAGAAATTTATGGCATTTTACTCTATTTGTGTTATGAATAAGCTAGAAATTTTAACAATTTTTTTAGACTGGTTATTACACAATAGATTGAAAAGATGAGCAAACCTGCAAATGTCCCTAATTTTCACAAATTTTCTCCACGGCTGCACCATAGGCTGCACTTTGAAACCTGTAATCAGAAAATATTTGATTTTTAGTTAAATGTTTCCATGATAAATTTGAGATAAAAAAAATATTTCTACAAAAATATTTCAGTACGATATTTCATCAAAAACTTTTAATGCCCGATAGAAAATTTACCACAGATAAAAATATTAAGTTTCAGTTTTGTCGTTTCTGTTTAATTATTTAACATTGAATACTATTTTGTGCTAAACGAATGCAAAGCGCGGCTGTGAGTGGATTAACTATGCAACCTGCTCGACGCGCAGTCAAAGCGTGGTGCCTAGATAGAAAATGCGAGTCATTGTAGAAAATAAAGAATTACATCCTACAATATTTAAATTTAATGTTAATGTGTATTTAAATAATTAGTTGAATAATTAATTCAGTCCCGAAACCTTTTCAAATTCAGCAAACAAGCATTAATGAAACCATAATTCTTGTAGCATCAAATTTTTTCTCCCTAAAATACCGTTTTTCTTTGCAACTTCGTAACAATGTATTATAGCATAAATTAACAAAATCAAAAATGTTTTGAATAATTATGCATGGCTTGCTTCAATACCTTGCTATGACAATTAGTATTGATGAGATAATAATAAGAGAAATGGATAAGCGATATGATTGTTTTCAGATTGCAATTTAAATATTTGTGTTTTGAAATAAAAGGGATCTGGAATCTGAAATCAGAAATTGGCTCATAATTAATCAACAAAATTCAAAACTACTCAAAGTTTTTACGCATTATTTATTCCTAAAAAAAGCCCACGAAGGCTAGAAATTAGAATTTATTTTCTCTCTCCAAAAATGGCTCCAATTAAATCATTTGCGTGATCCTAAAAGTTTGTCACATACTTACGACCTACATTATTTTTTTTCAATTGTTTAATTCTCATCATTGTTGCTTTGTAAGACTTAAAATGTTTCCCAAAAATACCTTTTAACATTTTTTTTTGCAAATTTCCTTTATTTGGTGATCAAAAAAATTATGCAATAATAGTACCTTTATGGACAGTTTTTATGTTTTTAAAAAGTTTTCTTCTTACTGGAAAATATAAATTAACTACACTACAGCAAATTATTTATAGTGGTTTTTCTTAATTTTATTTAAAGTTTTCTAAATTAAAACCTTTTCTATGTCAGATTCGTTTGCAATGGTCTTTGCTTGCAGTAATTTTCAGTAATTAGAAAAGGGAAATGAAATAGGAAGGGAGAAGTTATTAGTTCGTAGCGGTGCTCACTTTTGCAGCCAACGGCGCTCGGAGAACGAGAAAAGCGCCAACTGCGTGGTGGCGCCAGTTAATTTATGCGGCGGCGACTGCCGTAACTTCGCGAGCGCAGCGAGGAAAGTAAGAGTTTTTAGCGGCAGTTGGCCTGAACGGCTGGGTGTGAGTCACGAATGAATATTTTTCTGCTCTGACTTTGAACGCGAGAGACCTTCCTTTCCGCGATCGCCGCCGCCGAGACCCTGAATGTCTAACGCAGCAAAATTTACTCACCCCGCACATAATTTAGCATCTTTTTTTACTGAGTGGTAAATTTATATTTGCAGTGCGGATCATGGTTGTTTTTTTGGCATAAAATTTGTATTTTAATTGGTGTTAACATTTTTGACAATTAAAACGTTCTCTCCAATTTGGCCTTAGTCAAGGTTTTTGCCTAATTGATCCTTTCCAAGGCTTTCTAAACATAATGGATAAGCTGTTACCAAATGTGAAACGTCATTCAAAATTTCAAGCGCAGGGAGTTACTAATTTTTGCAAATTTTGTTCATTTTTTACTCTAAAATATAGAACTCTTAAAATATTACGTTAGAGAAAGTTTCTCTTAAAAATTTATGAAATGATTAATTACAATAAATAATTATGATATTTTGATTGCAAATGGAAAATTTCCTAGAATATTCTGCAGATTCAGATTCACAATTTTAGTAAATAAAAACAATTCGTAAAATTATTCAGATTCCAAATTTTTTGTTATTAGAATAAAACAGTTTTCGCAGCTACATAACCTTTGTTTGTTTGAACCTAGATTAATTTTAGAATATCCAGTGTATTTATTTTTATTATCATTATGATTTTTTTTGCGTGGGACACATTGTGATTGCACAATACTGCCCGGGGCTAACGACCTTCTTCTGTCTGCGAAAATAGACGACATTTATTTCTTGCAACACTTTTCCCCCTGCGCCTCCATCGCTTCATGCGCGCAACTATCTGGCCACTCCAGGGGCAAAGTTTGCAATCCGCGATTCATTATTACATTTTTTGCTGCTTTATTGAAGAGTGCCGGAGACTCTCATTTCACTAGAAAGCGGCAAAGAGGGATATTTAATAATTATTCTATTCTATTTATTTGGCATCATAGCTTTTATTTATCCTTCTTGTTAAAAGGGGTAAAAAGTTCTGATGTTTCTATTTTTTAATTATTTAATTATGCTGTAAAAGTTAATGATTTTGATAAAAATTAAAAGTGAACAGAAAAATTAGGTTTCATTTAGATGCAAAAATTAACTATTTTCCGGGGGAAATGGTAAATTCTATTAAAAAAATACATTTTAAACCATTTAAGAATATTGATTCAGTTTAAATATACTTTGCTTTTAAAGATAAACATTTATTAAATTTTTATGAACTCTTTGAGAGGTAAGAACTGATTTTTTTTATTTAAAAGTCAGACTTATAAATTATTGAGATTTTATTTTCATCAGATTATAAAAAGTACAATTTTTATTAGCTATTATGTGTTGTAAATTTATATACAAAAAGTATATTCACAAATAAAATTGATAAATATTTGTGGAATGGAGTTGCTGAAAATTTTAAAGGCTTACAAACAATTTAACTGACAGCGTTTTGAAGGCTGGCGATTTTTGACACGCAAGGTCGTCAAATTCCTGAAAGCCAGCGTTAATAACTGTGAAAATAATAATAATTAAAAATTACTTTCCTGATATTTACAATTTAAAAATAAATCATCAAAGGTCTTTAATTTTTTAACTACAATCTTTCTCTTGGAACTGCAAAAATAATGCGTGCAAAAAAGTGCAGAGCGAGTGAGGCAGGCATAGAGGTGATTTCATCATAACGGTGTGATTGTTGACCTTGCCTTGGAGGCCGCCGTGTACCGAGGTCAAGCTACAAGATTAAACTACTCGCGCGGCGGCCGCGCTATTATATTGCTAAAAGGCTAGCAGCGTGGCAGTCAGGGTCAGTGCAAGAAGGGAAGGTTAGGGCTGGCAAAGGTCGCCTGCCTCTCGCGGCACGGCGAGGGGAGACTTCGACGACTGCAAATCCGTGCGAAAAAAAACAATGGCGCGCATTTTTTGCATGCGAGACGAGAAAAGCATGAGGGAGCGCACCATCAATGTCAGGCCTCGATATAGCTACAGTCATTGGGAAAACGGCACAGACTCGTTACAGACATATCAATTTACTGTTTTGACTTTTTGCAGATAAATTAAGATGATTATAACTTCAGATGAAGTTAAAATCCGACAAAAATTAGATAACTTAGTTAAAAAGCTAGGCTTTTATTTATATTTAATATTTTAAATAAATAAATTACATCATAGTGATCCAAACTTTAATCAATAATGAGGTTGTAAATTACAAAGTAAATACTCGCTGGATAACAAAACAGTTTATTTAATGACATTGTGTAAAAATTTATTGAATTAAATTTTAAATTTAATCTATAAAACATAAATGTTATATTTTCTTATTATTAAAAATTTTAAAATTTTTACTAATTTATATTATTTAAATTAGTGTTTTAATAATTCATTGCAAATGCAAATTTACTTACAAATTTAAAGGTTTTCGATTTGAAGTAAATGACGTGTCAGCATAATAATTAAATTATAAAATGTTAATATATATGGATCTTGATTTCATATTTCAATTAATGCTCCATCCTACGAAGGAATTACTTTCTTTATAGTTAATTCAATTCTCGTTTATTGTGTAAAAAGATTTGCTTCCATTTGATTTAAAAAAAGGTGTTAAAATTTAAAACCCTGAATCAAATATTGAGGTTAAAAATGGATATATCTGAAAATATATTTTGGCAAACACTATATCTGGAATTGAAAACCCCAGTAGCTATTATTTTTACGCCACACTTGGTTTAATAAAAAAAACATCAAAAATATTGCTGCAAAAAATCGCAAGTGTGCACCAATCTAAACAGAATTCACTTTTGATCCTGGGAGTTCAAGTTTTTGGACAAAATTTTGATTGAGGATAATAAAGTATTCCCCGGTATTCCCAAGTGTTAAAAATTCTAACCATAAAGAAAATAATCAATAATGTAAAACGTCGCTTAAATTTTGATAGAAAAGATTAAAAATATCACAGTGGAAATCCAATTAGCTACTTTTATTTTTATATTAATTCTTTGTTTTTTTGTTTTTAAATAAAATGAAATTTGAATTTAAATTTCTTTTATTTGTGCAGATATTCTTAAATTTTATTACTTTCGTTTTCAAACTGTAACTAAAAATAGCTGGGTCCTTAACCTTTGACAATTGATATTTATGTGAAACGATTTGCGGCTTTACCTTTTATTGTTGTTTGTCTTATTTCATTGTAAACAAACAAGCACGTATATTAAAGTATCGGTTATTTTGATTGGCAATTCGACCCTGAAAAGTCGTTTTGCAAAATTATGAGACGACGCCTCGCGTTGTGCTTCAAAGCGGGCCCCTGGCAAATAATGAGAGAGTGCAAGTGTGTGTGTGTCAGAAGGTCAAGTATGAGAGAGCCCTCTGTGCAAACTCACGCCAGTCGTAAGGAAGGTTTTTTAGATGCGCAAAAATATACTGGACACTTTCGAAAAGTATTATTTGGTTTTAACATCTTCCTTATTTGGCCGAAGCGATACAACGGCGGCCTTGAGAATGTTCGAAAACACGGTGTAAACATTCCCACCACCGATTTTTATGGCAAAATTATTTTCTACGTACAATTTAGAGCTTTGTATTCAAGTATTTTTTAATTAATATAC